ACAGTTCGCTACTACACCTGCCAGTTATAGTCACTACACGTAGCGCCGGCGCCCCAGGTGCAGCGTCCACGCTATACCTCGCACAGTCACAGCACAGAACGGTAGACAGCGTCCTCCACTATCCTGCCACTCTGCGACCCAGCAGCGAAACCCACCAACTGATTGTGCGCGCTCTAAGCACGCCGCAAGCGCCCAGACCTAGTGCTCTACGCAACGCTGATTGGTCAACGCAATGCTTAATAATTCATGACTTAGACTGGCATTCATGCCTACCCCTGTTTCGTCACAATACAATACAACCAACGGTTCAAAGAAAAAAAAACTTTTGTATTAAAGGTTAATAATATTGTCAACCGCACAAAACTTAATTATAACCTAATTGGTTCCTTTTCTCGATGGCGATTCGTTTTCTTCTTCTTCCATTCATTCATTCTTTCTTTTTATATTTTTTTCCTTCCCATCATAGTGCAGGAATTGTTTGCTGCTTGCTTTGCTAGTTTTGTTTGAAACTTGAAATACATATTCATCTATAGCAAGTTTTGAGTTTCGTCTAGGCGTTGTTATGACTTTCCGTTTTATCGCGTGCCGCTTTTCTCTTTTTCACTTTCATGTTCGCCTTTATTCTAAGTGGTGTTCTCTTCTGAAAGCACTTCATAGTGAGATGTACTTCAGCAGCAGCAGGGCAAACTGCATTTGGGGGAGGGACGTGCACCTTTAATTGGCGACCCCTGTTGAAATCTAAAAAACTGCACAACCTAAGGCGCGGCTTATACGTTTCGGCCCCCCGACAACATGTGAATCCCCGGCCGGGTCCCCAAACAATAATATTGTAGTCCACTCACGCCACTTGCACATCATCAATGAGTGACGTGATTCAACCCTACAGCAAAACCACCTCGTAATTCCTACCATGCAATTTCCTCACTACCTCGAGTGCAAGGCAATTGCGGCCCCTGTTCATTCAATTGAACAAACTATACATATTTGTGTGCGGTCCCGGGGTCACATTCATGGCCCGACCTTCTACGGGAGTTGTAGCAGTATCACCAACAGGGATTCTTTACACACGGCTGACGCCCAACAGCTGACCACCAACGCCAAGAATTGCTTATTACAGGTTTCCTGTGTTTTTGAAATTAGCGTACCTGGTAGAAACACAACCAAGGTAAGCATGTAATCTACAGTCACCCTCAATCCTGGCCCCACTAGTGTGGTACGGACTCTCACTCCCGATCCATAGTGTGGCACAGACTCTCACTCCCGATCCATGGTGTGGTACGGACTCTCACTCCCGATCCATGGCGTGGCACGGACTCTCACTCCCGTGTCACACTAGTGGGGCTTCCTCAATCCTGACCTTGTACCGTCTCTTGTACTAAGTTGGTGCGCGTGCGTTCTGAATCCCACTATAGGCAGTGAAACGGCTCCTGACTTGGGCACCTGGACTCGAAAAGTAACAGATCAATATCAAGCTCAGATAAAGTTCACGTCCCTCATTTCCATACCGATTACAATTTAAACACTCAAAGCCCCTTTTGCTGCTTGCACACTATAAAAATTAATTTGTTTTTGAAACATTTTGCCCGTCTTTGTCACGTACCTCCAAAGTAATCGAGTCAGAAGTTGGAAGTGAAGTCAACATTTCAGATGTATTTTGATGATAGTACAATGATAGTACAAATCTCTCACCACTGAATAATTATTCAGGCCGACCAGATCTCACTATTGCGCATGCGTGAATACAAAACTGAATGCACACACAGTCTATGGGACCGAACATACGTGGGGAGAGAACGAAAACAGAATGGGTATCTCAGGATTCCTTATAGTGTCTTTGTTTTTGTTGTCTAATATTTCTATTTTACTTATATTTTGTTTACCTCCAAATATCTTCCTCCCATTGCAATTGCACTGGCGTTTAACTTATTCCGTTAAATTTCAGTCATGCTTCCAGTCAAGTGATGGATGTGTATAAGACATTTCAACTGGTCATTACCCGGTTCCAAATCCTTTGATGTGTCAACACCTTGAACCATTCCATACATGTTCACAATTTTATACAGTTTGCGGTGTGTGAGACGCAATGCTCATCAAAGTCCTGAATTGAATTTGTTCGTGTAAGCCTACTTCTTTTTTGTCCTGTGACGAGTTGAAACCCCGTATCAGTGAGATCCTGAATTTTCTCAGATGCAATAAAGAAGTCAAACGAGAACACCCATAAAAAACAAGAAAGAGAATATTAATTAAACACTTCAAGAGTCGATAGGGTTCAAAGTTTTTACGGGCGAGGATTTGGGCAGGCAACATTAACAGGTAATCGTCAGTTTCAGTTAACACTTCAGCTTCACTAAGCATCATGTGACTTCGTTCCAATAAATTGTTACCTTGTGTGATTATGGAATTAACAGATTGAATAATGTTTCTCATTTAGTAAGACACCGTTTTCTTTATTTTACTGTTTTTTATTTTATTTGATAAATGCCATTGTTATTATTTACTGTTTTGCATTAGTATTTGCGTGATTTGGTTTTTCTGTAGCATTAAACTTTCTTGTTTTTCTGATCTTTTTTTGTCTTGGGGGGATTTTACCATGGCAGTACAACTATGTGCTTACGTCTCCTTAATTTATATCAGGGTGCCTAAAGTTCAGCCCTGGTCAAAGAACTGATCAAAGAAAGAAATCAGCATAAAGATGTTGCATTTTGCTAATCATCTGTTTCCATGCTCTGTGATTACACGAAGGAGTATTTCTTGTGGAAGTCTACGATATATTCTTCCTATGACTGCGAAACTGGCATAATTTTATTAGAAAACCAGGCAAACGGAAGAATAGCTTGGCATAGGTACCTGCATTACACCATTACGTTACCAGTTTTCCCTGCCCCCGAAAATTTGGCGATACGTGTCTTCGGGATTGTGTATTGTATGTTCTATTCCTGATCGGTGTCCAGTGGACCAATTACGCCAGAATCCGTCAACAAGGCCTAACTACAAAATTCCGTAGGGTCGTCACGGGGGCGTGGTTAACTGGCAGACAGCTGGTCATCGGTCAGTAGACCTCATGCGTATAGCGGTTGTCCGGGTCCTTGCTTTATGGTCTTAGCCAGTGTTGAACAGGCCTGGGCAAACCTTTTGTGCTTACCTTGTAAGGCCAGAATTTGAAACATAGAAGCATACCTCGATGATCGCTGCTATACGTAAAGTCTACTCTTCTCGATGACTTCACTGCGTGCAGGGTTAAGTAATGCGATAGTTTCCAAGAAAAGGGCACATGAAACTTGATATCTACAAAACAGCTATTACAATACAGTTTGGTCTTTTATTTACTTGAGATGTAATTCTTCGAAATGCCATGCAAACATTCCAACACTTTATTAACCAAGTACCAATAATATAAATTAATATTTATATTAAGTGTACTTTATAACCAAAGATCAGATGATGATGACTGTGACCAATCCAGAAAAGTGCTTACTCAGTCGGAGTTGAAGATGCAGAGTTTTCTGTCAGTGCTGAGCTAATACTGATCCCCTGCCAAAGAAAGAAAAACGCCATGACTTACTTTCTGTCATCTCATTAATTTTGCCAATGTGAAGAGCTCGGGACTGTAGTCAGTTAAGTCAACGATTTATTCCATCTTGTGCTCATAATCCGATACCAAGTACCAAAGCAGGACAAGGCAACCAAACTGGCGACATTTAACGAGTAGCACTTCCTTAGGCGTCATTGTTACTCCATCCTGGCCCTGATAGGCCTAAGTAAACTAAAACCCCTATTACGTATAGTGTGCTCAACAAAAAGGTGGTACTCAAATTAACAGACAGAAGAGTACGCCATTTTTACCTGAACACCCAGAAAATTTAACAATAAAAAGACCCATTTGTAACAGGAATCCAGGCGTGACAACCTCGATTCTGATATTGTTACTTCCCGTTCTTATACCGCAGATTAGGAAAGTAAACGATCGTGTCCCATTTAGTCAAGAGGCTTTGAAAAGACGAAGAGCGAATTTCATGAGCCTTCTGATTTTTTTCTCTTTCCCAGTTTAGGAAATCGAAGACTATGGCGCTTAATACCTGGAGTTATGCAACAAGGTACATTATGAAGGTAATCGTCCCGGGATACCTGCGTCGCGTGAGGCATGGTAACACGACCGAGGAGCGCCTCCTGGAATACGTCAAGAGCACGGCAGTACAGGGCGATGCAGCCAGCGTGCTATCAGCTGTGGATAAGTTCAAGGCAGAAAAAGAATGGATGATGCACTTTCAATATGAGAAAAGTAAGAGACGTACGATTCATACGATTAAACTTCCACATAGCTCATGTAGAATCATTCTGTCTCAATACGATCCCACCGACCGGTCTCCTCCATCACTGACACCCCCATTTCATTTCATTCCCTCATTCCACCTTACCTATTCTGGCCCAAACGTTTTGGTATACAGGGGAGCTGCTACTCACAAACCAATCATTGAAAACCTCTCTCCAGCTGTCGTTTATTGGAGCTGTCGTCTGTCCTCTCTCTATTCATAGAACTGACAAAGACCCGCTTGGCTTTATACCAGTTGCGTAAATAGCGTGAATTTCCGAGGAGGGTTTGCAGGGTTCACATTTTTTTCAAGGGGGCAAGGAAAGTTAATGGACTGTGTGGCTTGCATAGGCCCGTAGGCTTTGGACATTTCAGCAGGGGGAAAGGGGCACCCGGGCCTAACTCCCTTACCCAGACCCATATCACGTCATGGGACCCCCTTCTCCACAACCTCTAGCGATCCAACCTTTCTTGCTTTGCCTAAATGATAATCTCCTCCACATTACAGAGTAGGCCTATCCATTTGTTTTGATAGACAGCAGCTGAACAGAAATAAATCACCACTAACGTTTCAACGAGCCCTCCGTCCTGCAGATGAGGACGCGCCGACAAAAATAATTTAAACATCATTTTGCTGGTTTGATACGCTTAAACACAAGCCCTAAATAAATCAAGATCTTACTTTAAAACATGTTGGAACATGTTGCAATGGACACATGCGATTAGGTGGCATCAAGTGGTATCATTTTCAGCCATTTGGCCGAGAGAAGATATGCTATACCCAGCAAGAAATGAGACCGAGGGGTACCCCCCCAACATGTCAAACCCCTATACACATTCCAGACTATTGTTACTTAACACATCCCCCAAGATGTCTGAAAGGAATTCCCCAGATTCCTGCTAGACAATGACCAACGCAAAGCAGGGGGGGGGTTCTCTTCGTCTCATACCTTGCTGCATATGAGATAAAGGGTCTGTGCTCAGAGAGGACAAGCAGATGTAACCGAAGGGAAAACTAATAACCAAAAGGAAAAAGAATCCTGGCGGCACAAGAATCCTAGCGGCACAAGAATCCTGGCGGCACAAGAATCCTGGCACAGATATATGTATATTTTATTTCTGTCCCACCATGTATAGAATGTTATATGTATAATAAGATTGAATTATTTTTACAGGTAAAGTATTTCTAGTAAATAAACAAACGACAGTCAATACTAGGTGATCTGCAAGAGATCTTGAAAAAATAATACAAGAAGTTTCATAAATACATGTACAATTCTTCCTTCAACTTGTATAACATGTTTACAGGATGAAACCATTGAAACCCGTTCTTTTACAAATATTAAGGTTACTTAAGTACACGCACATATTACAACATTTAGTTTGCAGTTTTGATAATGGTTTCACCAGATTCATGCATGGTATATGAATAATTTAGAAAACAACCCAACTAACGAACATGAAGGATGTGGGACACATACTCCCAGTATTATTTAGTTTCAAAAGAACCTACCAACTACAAAGCTGAGGCTGGCAAATGCCAACAGCTACCAGCTGCCAGTACGGGTACTATAAACTGAAAATGTCAAGATGCTGCAAGATAAAAAAAAAAGGAAATTTTCTATGATATGCATGTACAGTGTATAGTGTTATGTACATATCACTTCTTTATTCTTCTAGATCAATCTATCTAGAGACATATACCCGTGGCTGTAATTTGCTCAAATAATACGCGTGTAACTGCCACATCCTTAGCGTTCCTAGGCACTTATTTAATCAAAGAATGTGTGCGTATATCCCCACTAGTCACCCCATGCCCAACAGAGGAGGGTGGTGCAGTACCAAGCTGCACATTTGGGTTGAATGCAGGGCAGAGACACAGGTCTATTCAGATCATCACTAGCACGGGTACAATGGGGCCCACAATTGCCAAGCGGGTAGAAGAATAGATGCAATGGCAGAGGGCGCTCTATTCAACATCACTACAAGGTTTTTTTAGTAAATGTATAATGAGTTACATTTGCAAGACAGTGAAGAAACCAGGTGACTCATGGTTGACCGCTTATGTTCAATACATGTATGTGAGAGAAAAGAGATATATCACAGGGAAGTGGAGGGACCAGGTAACCTAAGTGGGTCGACTGGTCACAGATATCTAATCTTAGATGAAACTCTACTCTGTTGTTGGCGTGCTTGGACCAAAGAGTACCGAGCGTTCCCTGAAATTAACATCTTTTTAACGAAATAACGTACACATTTTTAAAAGGACAGAAAATCGATGGAGTCCTCAAGAAGACGAAACCCCAAAATGGTTTGGAACTGGGAACCTACGTTGGTTATTCAGCCATAGCAACATCGAGGCATCTCTCTGAAGGAGGTCACCTGATTTCAGTGGAAATCGACAAGAAAAATGCCAGCCTCGCAAAGCAATTCATTGAATTTGCTGGTGTGAGCAACCAGGTACCATCTAACAATAAGAACGATGACACCAAAGCGTTTAAAAGGCACACCGTGTATCCCACAGTATCTGTGATTGATAGCAAAGGCACTGTTATTTTCTTTTCCTGCCTTTTTGTGCTCACAACATGAGCATGGAGGAAGGACGCTTCCTCCATGGTTAAATTAATGACTTCTTTGTGATGCTGCAGCAAAATTTAACTTCATGTTTCTTCGGTAATTTATTACTAACAGCGACCGAAGACCGCTTACCAATGTACTTGTGGTCAAAATCTTGAAGTCAAGCGTTGAACGTCTTGCATAATCAATATGCAAATGTGCTCAGTGGGTTGTACGTTGTTGGGAGCAAACGAAAAATTACGTACCGACCTGGAGTTGTTCAATGTAAATGTCACGTTAAACTCACAGTAGAAACTTTTAGAAATGGTTTCTTCTAGCCACGGTTTCTTTAAACTTTTTTGTTAAAAAACAGACGAAAGTGTACACTGTTTTATGTGTAGCCTGAATTTAGGTTAAGAATAGAATGTCGCTATACAATAAACATAGTAAGGTCAACGAAAAATTGCTCAGTATAGTAGGGAGCCAAATTAAGGAGCATTTAGTATTGTCGCCATACCATTCCCTGAGTTTTCAAAAGTGTATTGGCATTTGTTGCATTGAAATTTCTCTTTAGTAACAATTGGAGCCTCTGGTTTCAACAGATTTCCATCGCTGTTGGGAAATCATCAGATATCATCCCGGAGCTGCGCAGCAAGTACTCCGTAGACAAGCTGGACTACGTGTTCCTGGATCACTGGAACAGCTTGTTCTTGCCCGACCTGAAGCTGCTCAAGAAACATGGCCTGCTACGAAAAGGGTCAGTCATTGTGGCTGACAATGTCCTGTATCCTGGCAGCCCTGATTACTTGCAGTACGTGGAGAATAGCGGCGAGTTCACCACTGAGCGGTTCGACTGCTACGTTCAGTTTATGCGCTTGCAAGACGCCATAGCAATCTCTGTATACAATGGTGACTAATGATGACAAGGACCGAAACGTCGAAATGGGTAATCCAGTCCTCAAATTACCTTTTACAACTGAAGTGTGTATTAAGAACTCCGAAAGGGTACAGAGTGAAATGAAACGAGGGGTTCGTGAAGCAAAAGTCTAACACTTCTCCAGCACCGCACATGCAAATTGCATGAAATGAAACCCAGTGCATGTACTTAAAGTCTCTATAATGTTTGTAATAGTGGGCCTACACCTAGGCCTCTTTTTGAAGGTCTAACTCAAATGTTATTCTAATGCTTTGGTTTTAGTCTGAAAATAATTTCTGCTTAAACGTGGTGGATCTCATATTTTACTGGCCGAATACTCGTGGTTTTATTTGGGTTGTATGGAAAACGTAAAACTTGTCCCATGTTGTCTTATATCTGGCACCAACTTCTGACGAAATTTATGGTTAATGGAAATTTGCACTGCACCGATAGACTTGTAAAAATTTTGAAACCTGACACTTGTGAGGATTTACAACTGAGATGCTGCAGCGGTTATCTGTGAATTTCAGGAGTCAAAAACATTAATTGTAGCAGGTGCCTCAAATAATTTAAAATGCATGAGAGAACCTACCAGTATTAAATTTATTATCTTTGAACTAGGGGTTTAGTTACACTACAAGTGCATTTGAATAATTGTTTTGACAAGGCTCGAATCTGAAATCATATTTGACAACCAGTGTTCATTTACAAAAGAGTTATACTTTTTCTTACAAGTTAAAATGAAAGTCAAGCTGGATGGGTACGAAAATGCCTGATTTAGTATTTGCAACTGGAGTGCACTGTTTTGGTGAATTGGTTAATAAACGGTTCTTATAAGTAACATTTACATCTCTTTCTGAACCTGAAGAAAATTTGTTTTACAGTTTGTTTGATATCAATGGTGAGGGGCAAATGCCTCAACTTAGTGGAATAAATTGAGTACAGCCCCGTCGATATTTGGCTGAAGAGACGGCCATTTCCTTACTTTTACCACGTGTAAGATGGCTTCATTTTTATACAATCTCACTTTTGTCTACAATAAAGGAGCTCCCGACTGTTTTGCATATTTTAAACGTAGGCCGTACATTTAGACTATGTTCTTGAAAGGTCAAACACAAATAGCCAGAATACATTGAAAATGTAACAAAAGAAGAAAACAAGGAGGCAGACCCAAATAAAGCCCGCAGCTGAAGATCAAAAACTTGGCTTGACTTACAGGTACTGAAGTAGTTTCTTCGACAACTACCCTGCGACACAAACAGGACCCCGATTGATCCGTACATCTTATCTTCTCTCCATTAACGTTAAGCACTTGTGACTGGAGGTTTAAAATCGCTTTTGCTGGCTCGAGGAAATCCATGCCCAATATTCCACACACTGGTACACTTGTCTGACCAATTTGTATCTCCGGTTCCAGTACCTAGTATATTGCCCGTCGGACTCCCATTTGCCTGACGGACGGGAACTTCCTTTTTCTCGAGATTCGGACGCTTCTCTTTTGGGATTTGTTAATACTGTGGCGCCAGCGGGTTCGGCCGGTGGGGCCGCCAGCTCGGACCCGCATTGAGCTAGCTGGGTGCCCCCGCTGGTATGCGAACGGCCTGCGGCTTTCCCGCCTCGCGCCTGCGCAGTCCCGTCTACACGCCTCGTGTCTGGAGCTTTGTGTGTCAGACAGCCCTTTTGGTTTCGTCAAAATGAACAGAGCAGTTTTGCCCCGAACGGAGATTTGAGCCTGACCGAGTAGTTCTTTGTCAGTGTCAGAGCCTATAGACAGGACACGCTACAATACACAGACCCCGAAATAATGGTGTCTGCAGAACCTGTATCAACCAAAAATGTTTTTACATTAGTAGTTTACCGAGCCATTTACATAGAGACCTTGCTTGGGCTGACGACGTGTCATTTGTCGCCCAATATTTGTCGTGTCAGGTTCAATTAATTTTACGCGAGGAAATTACCCTTTCGACCCGCATTCATGCTCTCTGGTCTTCCCTCGGGCCCTAGAGTCGACTGGTGGTCGTGTCGCTGAGATTTCTTCCCCGCGGTACTTCGATCAGCGGAGGAAGGATACTGCTTTGTAATGTGCCCTCTACCTCCACACTTAAAGCAGTTCACCTCCATTGGGTGATTCCTTTCTCTGGGGGATTTGACTGATCCTCCAAGCTTCCCCTGATCGGCGATATGATATTCCCACACCTGCAGCTACAAGTCACTGGATCTGTTCACTAAGTTGATCGTCATTCTTCTCACTTGCCCGGCAATATTTAAATTTCTTGGGGTCTTCTCTTTGAGACTCCATTCATTCGAAATTTTCTGTAGCCAGGGCGGCTCTGACAGCTTTATCGAGGGTTCTCGGTCTAGCCCTGAAGATACCCTCTCTGATTGACTAAAGAGCGATAGCGTCACTAAAATGGGCTCGAGCTAAGCGATCTCTGCCCTCTTCATCGAACTCGGGATAAGCAAGAACTGTCAGTTCTCTGACTGCCTGCCCAAGTTCTCGCAGGGTCTCGTGGGACCCCTGCCGTCGCGACCTTAGTTCCATAAGGTAATTCTGGGCCATTTGGCCCAGCCCAAACTGAGCCTCGAGCAACCCTAACAACTCCTTACACTTGAGGGCTGGTTGCAATTTCCAAGCACCTTCAGTGCCATACCCTTCAAACTTGCGGCCAAAAATACTGCGGCCTGATTTTCAGCCTTGGTAAAACCATTGGCCAATCTGCAGGCCTCAAAATGGCGACGATAATCCTTCAATGGAGTTTTCCCATCGAACCGGTCGGGTGTAATATTGGGGTGGCCTCTCGCCCCATTCGAACCCTCTGCCCGTTCATCCATGTAGTTACCTTGTCCCCCCCCTATCCAGGGGCCATGGACCTTCACCAATTACCGTGGGCTCTTTACCTTGGAACGGGAGTCAACGTGTGGACAACCTGGTCCGACACGCTGCTCGACGCAGTTACGCCCAAAATAAATTTCCGGATCGTCTTCATCCGGTTGTGCAAACAAACCCAGTGGAACCTCCGCGTCCACTGCCCGTGACTTGTCAGATTGGTGCCGCTTCCTTGATAACTCATCTGGAGAACGTCGCAGCTCTATTTCTTGCAGTTTTACCCGCTGCATAAGTTTACTCAATTTCCTCACTATGTACTTCGTCTATGTTACCGCTACCTTTGGTGCCACCAAATACATGTACTTCTGCCTCGTCTGAAGGAGACTGCAAAGTCTCTATGTCACTCGCCTGTTAACGGCAAACTAACAACCAGCCGTACCAACACAGCGGATTAATACACATAAACCACAAATACTTAAATGTACAACTAGACTGATTCCGCTGCCTACGGGAGGTGCAATTACAACTCATATTGAATGACACACAACTAATTGTTTTCTTTCTTACGGTATTTATTAATGACACGGGTCACAAACTTAACGGGGAGTACACGCTAGCCAAAAGGTCCTCCAGCAGAGGTGCAATTGAAGGTGGTTTTTCGAGCACGCTCACTATAAATGAGGTACTACGGGAATAATTTACACCAATACAATTATTTTCTGTCCAATTTTATGCCCTTTAACACCCCACTTCTGACACCAAATGTAGCGGTGGAGCAGGCTCGCTCAGCACCGAAGATTCTCGGCTCTCACCGACTCACGCTTATTTTAGAAATTTATTTGAACAAATTACACTCGAGCGGCAGAATGTAATTTGCGGGGACATTCGTTCCAGGAAAGTATATTCTAGTCTAAGGGCGAAACAGATGAACAAAATGAAGAGTAATTCCCGGTGACGAGAGAAAGTGAGGCGGTGAGGCCAAATTTTGGGGTTCCTGTGTCACTCTCAAATTTTGGAGATCTCCACTTTGCTCATGAAAAGACCTGCTAGTACAAAATTATTAATTTAAACAAACATGAATCTTAAATTAAATTGAATTCAAAATCAAAAATTAAATTAAATTAAATTAAATTAAATTAAATTAAATTAATTAAATTAAATTAAATTAAATTAAATTAAATTAAATTAAATTAAATTAAATTAAATTAAATTAAATTAAATTAAATTAAATTAAATTATTAAATTAAATTAAATTAAATTAAATTAAATTAAATTAAATTAAATTAAATTAAATTAAATTAAATTAAATTAAATTAAATTAAATTAAATTAAATTAAATTAAATTAAATTAAATTAAATTAAATTAAATTAAATTAAATTAAATTAAATTAAATTAAATTAAATTAAATTAAATTAAATTAAATTAAATTAAATTAAATTAAATTAAATTAAATTAAATTAAATTAAATTAAATTAAATTAAATTAAATTAAATTAAATTCCAATTTCCATGATCAATGAAGAGTATTGCTGGTGCTACATGTAACTTACGATGTAACATGTACAGTACATGCTGTCGATTTTCAAGGTCAAGCATAATATATATTGTACACGTACAATAACGAAGGTGGAGGTACACGTACGTGCACATCACATTGTAAATTTGACACTCAACTTGCACCCTGCTACATACAGCCACTTTTATGACCTTATATTAGCTGTTATATAACTCGCTATACACATGTAACTCACCAGTCGATGTAGCCAATCTGCCCCGAGCCTAGGGCCCCAAACCCTGCTGGTACAATTCAGCAAATCCACAGGACCATTTCGGGCCCTGAACCTGACGACTACAATGTTGTCTAGAAGTTTTGGAAAAGATCCAAGGTTGTGGCGCGAACGACCAATTTACACGTATATTCATGGGCACAGGAGCTTAACTGATTGCAACTTAATCCCTCTATTAATCGATCTGGACTATTAAATATCTACCATTTGCATTTATCTATAACTCACATAACCAAGACATTAACATTTTATCAATGAATGCATTATTAAACCTGGCACTATCTCTCGTGCCCGCATAACATGTCCAAAACACCAAGATTACTACACGGCAACGTACCGAGCGATTCATGGACAACATGAATAGCTCCCTCATGTGACCACAGCACTTAACAATTAGCAAACGCCACAAAAATAACACACCGGGAAACAATTAACAATGTTTAATTGAACATCAAATAAACAATGCTAATCAATGAATGAAGGTAGCCGAATTAATGTCGAGGCTCTGACTTACTAAATGTGATCGGGCTTTCACTTCACCCGGGGGCAATCTGTATTTGAGGCGCCGCCCAATTTGAGGGAGACCTCCGGAGGCGCACTAGATAGTGAGGCACCTCGCTGAAGGACCTCCCGGAGGCGTCTCGTACTCCGCTAAAATTTGTTGGGAAAACCCGTCAAAATAATCATAATTAAATCGTGTATAATTAGACAGCGCCTTAAACTTCCCGGAGATGAACAGCCGCGTCGATTCCCCGAGCTAACTGTAGGTTTAATCAAACAGCCGAGAATGGGAATTCCCTAGTGACAATTACTTTTTTTAGCTCCAGCGGCAGCAATCTGACAAGTCCAAGTCCAGTGCTAGCCCGAACAATAACAACAAATCAAGAGCCGAAGTTGGGCGTACCCAGCAACGAATTAAATTTTGCGCTGCCTAATTAGGCTACAAAGAACTCCTAAAAGTGCACTAGGCACTAGTGCACGCCCAAGACCAAGATAAAGCGCGCCCAACTACTAATCCCTAGAAAACGCACCGACGTGCGATGACTGCTTGCACCGCAAGCAAACAACATGACGTAGTAGTTTTTTTGCTTCAGTCGTCAGATTTTGAAGAAAAACTGAATTCTGCACTTGCAGTGGGTAAATTTGGAAAGAATAATGGTTGAGGTGTACGCAGCAGATCAACGTCAAGTTTGGAAGAAGGAACAGAAGGAAACGTGAGTCGCTTCAGAAAGTTTCTCAAGTTTTACTTTTTATAAATGCTTAACTTTAAGCCTATATAGGCCTCGTAAGAAATTTATGACAGAGTATCTAGCCTATCAGGCTTTGTATATGAAACTTCACTACTTCGAACTTGAAGTTGGAACCGTCTGAAACGTTACTTATTGGCAAAAGTGGTTTAAAAAACATGACTAATTTGTCGTTTATTTTCCCCAGATTTCACCGGAAAAATCTCCAAGACAGCCAAGATTTGTGTTTGTCGGATCTAAAGACGCACTGGACCCAAATCGTGCGTCAGACGATGTGATATGAGTGACAGAATTCTTCTTCGGGGCAAGGCCGGGAATTCAAAGTCAACGCAATGAAACTTAAAAACTTTGTCTGCGTAAAAAATTATTCGTTCTCAGTTAAAACAGACGTTTTATCCCGGAAAGTTGTTGTTAATTGTAAATTTTTAGGCTTAAGTCAGGATGTGTACTCAATTTTTTAAGCTGATTAATAAGTGTCAGTTTTAAAAACGGCAGCAAGTTAGTTTGGTCGCTCATTTAAAGCTGCGCTCACTTTGTGCTCACAGAAAAGATTCTCACACTGCCGCATGTCGGTTTTCAATAAAATTTACTCAATAGGCCATGGTATATGAATAAATTTTATTTGGTAGAATTTTACCCGGGAAATTGTATAAAATTAAAACCATTTATTGATGATTTTTCAGTGTTGACTCATCGAAACCAGACGGAAAAACACATGGACAGTTTGAACATCATATTTACTGATAAAACCAAAATATTGCTAAAGCGAGACCGTACTAGACAATAGGTGTACAAAAAAAAAGAATTAAAAACAAATACCCGCAAAATAGGTGAACTTTATCGCTTTTGAGTGGGTTAGTTAATAAGAAAATGGTCAGTTATTATTTATTAGTCAGGAAATGATATTCTTGCATTTTCTGTTTATTTTTGGCTTGTTTTCGGGAGGGAGGCCGAGGACTTGGCCATCATCCCACTAAAAACTTGACCAGAAATGCACGGCCGGCATACTGCATCACATTACCCTCCGAGTGAAGCGCCGCCATTGTACGGGCGCGCAAATTATGCACGATGTCCTATCCAGTCGACAATGTACATAAAGTCGGCGGATACTACCGGAAGTAAACCGATTTCCACTACTGTGCATGTGCTGTCTGTCCGTGGTTTTTTTTTTACTCGGGCTAGGTACTAGGTACGTACATGCATGCAGTGCGCAGATAGGAAACTGCGGCGTGCGCGACAGTTATCTGTGGTTCTCTGAGTTTTGTCTGCGTAGTCTGCTTTTGCAGGAAGTGAGGTAGGCCTAGTAGTAGGCTAGTATTGGTATGTTTTTACAAATATGTCGACTTGAAGAGGAAAGATTGTGAACATTTAGAAGTGATTTAAAGCTGGAATAGTTTTTTTTGAACAGAGCAAACACGACACTTTTTGACAGTCAGACAGTTGGGAAGACTCCATCATTGCATGGCCTCCGACTTCCCTCCAAAAAAGTGACACTGAGTGACAGTGACGATAGAATTCCATATACGAAATTCACTTTTTGGGAGAAATTTTTTCTCCAGGACAGATTTAAAAAGGGGCGACATTTATTTTTGGGGGATAGAGATGTGAAAGGGGGTTCAATAACTTAGGGGGACAGGTTTAAAAAGAAGGGGCCCGACGCAATA